GGGTCAGTCCCAGTTCAACTATTATATCTAGACATCCATGCGTCTTCTACACACTCACACACATATAATAATTCCCTCTGAGCGAGTCCTCCTTTTGCGCTCTCAGCCACATCTGCCACCAATTAGCAGCAGCACAGATTCTACATCAAAAAACATTCTCTCTTTTTGCTCCTTTACTTCCAGCTCTCGTTCTGAGCATCCATGTCCATTATTCCCAAATGTTTACATGCCCCTTTAACCTCCGGAAACCGTCAGCACACTTCACTGCTCACACGGAGGTTAAGTAGTTTGAGCAGCACAGGCCTGTTTGCTTCCGTACAAGCACCTGTTTAACCAGGTGCTCTCCGAGTGTGAGCGTGCTGCTGTGCCAACCTCCCTAGGCTGTTTACTGTACTTGCTGCATGACACTGAACGCTGTATTCCCATCACGATTGCTTCTGTAGCGATGTTGTAAAGACATTATCCTCCTTCATGTAAAGAACAAAGGGCAACATAATAGTACATTAAGACATCCTCCCTGCACCCTCCTCTTTGGCGACAGTGCATTCTTGCATTTTTTGTTTGTTATGACTGGAGAATTATAGCTTTCTGGTATCACGTCGCTCACGCTCATTTTTATTTATTTTTTATAAATCACTACTATTGGTCATCCTTTGTGTCTGTCTGTGGGTTTTGCAAATATTTCCTCAAAGATCCTCAAACTGTTGGTAAAAGCTCATAACTCCACCCCATATCAATCTTAAATAAAGTGCCACACACATTTTGGACCGTCTCTGCTTGTTTGCAATGCAAGGGTTAATAATGTAATATACTACTGTTTAGGTAATGCATTGCACTATATGCTATATGCTAAGTAGCATTACACTCAATTTTCAAAAATTGCAACATCTTCCCTGTTTATTTATTATAACAAGAGCATTATGGTTTTGTTGTGGTTGTATTACATGCTTGCAACATAAACAGCTTTGTTGATTATAACAGTAGCATTATAAGCAGCAGAGACTATCTGGCAACCCACTGATGAATGATATGAGACAGATCTGCTCTGAGACCTTAGTGATCTAGACACAATCAAGACTCAAAACACTGAACAGTGTGTGACTCACAAAATGATATAGCAGGCCAGAGAGAATATGTACTGGATAAAGAAGATATAAGGGCCATAGATGTGCAAGATTTCTATGCATTAAGTCACTTTACAATCATACTCATATAGTAGATAATGTATAAACATGACGATCACATACATCCTATTTATAAAGAGAAGCTTGACCTGTAATTAAAATTTTTCTATAAGTGCTACTGTCGAAAACACGTCGGTAAACAAGCTTTCACCACACTGCCTTTTGTTCAACATCAAAACACACACACACACACACACACACACACAAACACTCACCTCAAAATCCAATCCATGTCTGCAGCTGTCATCCTTATGAAATAATTGCAATGCCAGGAAGAAAGAGATAGAGAGAGCAAAGGCTATACAGCACACTGCCAAATTAGCTCCATACAAAGACACGAATCATTTCTGTTGCATGCTAATTTAAACAATATTAATATTTCATGTAAAAGCAAGTGAACCTGGCATGCATAGAGTCAAATGCAGACGAGAGACAAGCGAGAAGACAGTGAGATTAGAGCCCAGCTCTCGGCTGAATTCTGCTTCAATAGTCTTTTAATCCGCACCTCCGTCATCTCACAGACAGACGGGTTTTAGCTGTCAGCAAAAAGGTCTGTGTGTAAATCCAACACAGGACTATCCAACAATAGTTCTCACTTGAGCATTGTCTAAACCCTCTTCAAGAAACATTCAATCAGAATTTAAGTTCTGTTATTATTTCACTCATCATCTATGTCCTCATCATCCATCATCCATTATTTCACTCATCACATATGTCCATCATCTATGTCCTCATCATCTACTTCCAAACATTCAAACATGATGCATTAAGATGAGTCGGATAACAGATTTGATGTCAATAAAGTCAAACATCATAGAGTGTTTTGTTAATAAAAATCCAATTTAGGGAAATTGATTTTTAATGAAAGCTTACAAACCTTAAAAACAGAAATACTGTGAGATATGAGGTATTTAATCTGTGGTAGATGCTTTTGTTGAAGCCATCTAGCAACGCTCGGTCCGACCTTTGTGGCTTTGGAAGGATGCAGCCTCTGAAGTCGATTCCTTTAAAGGATGCCTCTGAATTGGGACACGGCTTTTTTAGGTCGTAGGAATAGGGTTGAAGACCTCTGTGTTTTTAGTTCCTGTTGCTATGAAGTCCCTTTTGGTCAACCACTTTAAGCATTTTTCAGAACTGTCACACCCCTTACCATAACCGCATTAGATTCGGGAGGGGGTTGGGGCATCTTTTGGACTTGGCGACAACACACTACCAATGCAACTCAACCTGGCATCGCCACTTTTTTTTGCATATGCCTTGGGTGTGAATTATTTAAATGAAAGGAAGCGCTCTGTGTGAACGCAGAATGAAGATTACGGTATAATCACTTACCAGGTCAGAACGCGATGAAGTAAGAAGTCTACTTCCATTCATAAAGTTCTTATGAGATGACGTGATTACTGTACGCTGTTTACAGTAAGATTTTTTTAAAGGAGTGAAATAATGCCCTTTTCACAAGATGTAAAATAAGTCTTTGATGTCCCCAGAGTGTGTATGTGAAGTTTTAGCTCAAAATACCCCACAGATATTTTTATATAGCATGTTAAAATTGCCACTTTTTGAGGGTGAGCAAAAACGCACCGTTTTTGTGTCTGTCCCTTTAAATGCAAATGAGCTGCTGCTCCCGGCACAGAGGGCGGAGCTTCAACAGCTTGTGTCCTTTTACCTCACACAGACATGCACTGAAAATTTCAAAAACTTTTAGCCTTTTATGTTCAAACTGGAGTCAGACAATGATGGAGAGACTCAAGAACTCTTGTAGTCATTGATTAGTTTATTCTGCTATAATCTATATATTGCATTCCCGGGGGCGGGGTTTATGTCAATTTTAGGGTTTGTGATGTCACTAACCAGGGAGGAAGCTCGTGTAGTCCCTACAAGCCGTTTGTTAGACCTTAAAAAGCAATTTCTTTAAAAGAAAATGTCTCCCTTTGCTTTGAACTTTAAGCGTTGTAACTTTGCAGATGTTGTTTATGCTCAAACAGCAACATTACACTACACACTAACTAAAGTTAGAAAAGTGAAATCATAATCAACCACCCCTTTAAGTTTTTCTAGATATGCTCAAGACAATCATCTTTGACCGTTGCTCCACGTCTCGCAGCTTTTTCAACGTGTCGCACTCGAGATCTAGCCATTTTTTCCATCCATCAGCGTTGCATTTCTGCAGTTGTATAATATTATGCATGTCTCATGTTTTAAAAAAATATATATTATGCTAATTTCCCAGGATTGCTGTGTGAAAGGGGCTATATGTACTTTACATATGTATTTTGTGTGGATGCATGAACATTCAGAGTTTCTCCTTTTGTGTTCCATGGAAGATAGAAAGTCATACAGGTTCGAAGCGACATAAGTACATTTTATTCTTTGGTAACTATCCCTTTAAGATCCAAACGAATAGATTAACTGAATGGCCTTATTTAAACCACTTTGTGTCAAAACACTGAAGAGACCAAATAACAATCACATCTGATGCTGATTTGAAACCTAAATGCATTGAGGGTCATTGAAAGCTGGTTGGTTTGGTAATTAATGTTATTCTGGGATGCGGTTTCCAGGGTCTGAGAGAGCCTTGACTGTAAATCACATCCTGAGGAGGAGAGACGGACGGGGGGATGGGTGGGGTCGTCATAATAACGAGACTTCGAGAGCTCTCCTGCCGTAATAATCAACATAAAAAGTCAAACAGACTCAAAGGCACTAGAAAAATGGCACATAGAGATGCAAGGTTTTGTTTATGCATGTGTGTGCGATATCACAGTGTGCCTCTGTGCTCCATCAATACTCAGTACTCAAGTTCGTCCCCTGAGGATTCTCCATCACACAGCTTTCACACTGACTCATACATGCTGCTATTATTCCACTCGCTGCTGCACCAATATCTTCAAACCCAAAGAAATATTAACTAAAGTTTTTTCTTGTGGAAAAATAGCACTGGACAAAGGTATAAAGCTGCAGCTTGGAAACGGTAGCAACAGTGCTTTATAAGAGCAGTGCTCCTCAACTGGTGAAACATACAAACAATGTTAAATGCAAATACAAAATGCAAACATATAAGCATACATTGTAAGCATAACTAGATAAATAGGTTCATCAACATTTAAAGATGGAGAAAACATCCATTTATTTTTTAAAGTCATTGTTGCGTTAAAGCAGTCAACAACACCTTTTGTGATGCCAAAGGCTGTGTGTGCATCCAATCAAATTCTGTTGAACTTTGTTGCAAATCTGTATTTGGTAGAAGCTAGCCAAATTGAGCAGATGACAAAATGGACAAGCTTCATTATACATTTATGCTTAGAGGATAAACACAGTTTTTGCAAACTAGAGTGTTCTGCTGCTGAAAGCGGGAAGGCATAGAAATTCAAGAGGCACAATAATTTGCAAATAATAAAAAACAATTATTTTGCATATTGTAGTTCATGGTAATGTGATTAAATTTCAATGTTTGATTTTAAGGACACATTTGTTTACTTTTCCAGACAACATGACACCACCTGAAGTCCAGTGTAAAACAATGTTGAGCCCAAAACAATTGCGAAGAACCTCTGATATTGAGCTAAAACACATTTTTGCTAAAAGATCTATGTCTCTATTTCTTTCTTTAAACTTATAACAAAGCCATTTAATGATGAATAAAGACATTATAGCACTCCACCAAAATAAGCCAAGTCAAGTAAACAACTGTTATCTGAGATCCTGATCAACAGCTGCCCTGTTCCAGCATGCACATCTACAACAACCCATTCAGAGTCTGAAGCACTGCGGGTCAGAAAAAACATCAGCGATGAAAGAAAGAGAGATGCCACTTACAGGAATTTCTCTTGCTGCCACTGGCGGATCCTGGGGAAGCCATCCCAGAGCCGCTGCTGAGTCTGACCAGGAGTCTTATACTGTGGGAGAGCCCGAGTTGGCAGGGGGTGTTGTTGTTTGTTTATAGCACAAGCCACCTGCCACACATCCTGAACGTCTAGACGAGCAGCACTGGAGGGTTAGACACACACACACACACACACTTACTTATGGCCAGTGATGCTGTAGAGCAGTGCAGCGTACAGCGAGTGCTCGGCTGTCTGATGGACTGAGAGGCAGAGCAGCAGTGAGTAGTAGATAGGAATGTACCACTCAGCATCTCAGGAGGGGAACCGCTCAGAGAGAGAAAAAAGAGACTGCATTAACAGAGCATGGAAATCATGAATAGAAGAAGTAGATAAACGCAGAAGATAAGAAGAAACAGTGAGAGTTCTTGAAGTGCAGAAATAGAAAATAAACCAAAAATATTCACAATGTCCAATCAAATGTCTGTAGACTAAGAATGACTAATACCACCTGCCACTGGCTAGTAGCAAATCTTCTATAAAGTAACATTTCAACTAGAAAGTAGCAATATTCAATTCACTTGGCTGTAGAACCTTTTCTCTTGGGCCAGTAAGCAACCACATAGCAATGCTCAGGCAAACACCCGCTAACACTCACAATTTCTTTAGAACATGTAAAAATCTGTATTTATTATTTGGTAACATTCTAGAGAATGTGTTTAAATCTGATAATAATAATACCATAACATACTCTAACATGAAAAATAACATGCTACACATGTAAGATTGAATGGTGCTTCTACATCACAGTTACAGATGCAGCAACTAAACTCTTCAAAAATTAAATGCTACTGTGCACTTCGATTGTGATACTGTATTGTGTTAGTTAATGCATTAGCTAACATTAAATAACAATGAGCAATACATTTGTTACACTATTTAATAATCTTTGTTAACGTTAATACAAACACAACTGTTCATTGTTATATTAACAAATATAATTTTTTATTTTAATAGTGTATTAGTAAATGTTGAACTTAGAATAGCTATAACTAAGATTAATAAATGCTAGAAGTATTTTTTTTTTAATGGAAGTATTTATTTAATGTAGTTAACTAATAATAACAAATTGTAAAATGTTACCAAGTTTTTAATATTTTATTTTATTTCAATTAACATCTATTTTATTTCAAGTAATGAAGAATGGTTTTAATTAGTTTTGTAATAAGTGGTCAGTAATTAGTTTAAGTTAAAGGTAGGCTAGGCGATTTGTTCCAGAAACATTTTTTGTTATCCTGGTTGAAAGTCTCTTCACATCCTGATAGCAATCACTAAGTTAAGTGGTCTAAATGTATTCAAATGTATATAACGTCTGTATAAGGCGTAGGACCATAAAATGTTCGTCCAATCTTTGCATTCGATCCGAATGCAATGATACGAAGTTCTACCTGCCTGCAACCACAGAAACCGAAATTTCTCGGGACAGCAGCATGTGTCCAAATTTTAATCTTAACCGTTCTATTTCATCAGAAACGATCTTGAAACAGGGCTTTAAGTTTAAAATACCGAACTTGTCCTTTAACGCTGTCTCTCGTCTCTTGATGGTTTGCAGACTCTGCAGTGTGTGTTCATGTCTTTTGGAGGAAGCATGGTTTTGTAAATGCACTGAAGGGATGGTGGGATCTCTTGCTTTCATAGCTTGCTATTGCTAGCGCTCCGAAAATTGCCTGTCCTACCTTTAACTGCATTTCAAAAGCCTTCAATGGAGAAATGCTTTTTGGCAGCAGAAAGGTGTAGTTTCAGCATCTACCAGCAGGGGCTAAAAAGCTCATACTAATCAAACCTTCATCGTTGACTGTGGAGTACAACCAAATTTCAAGCGTCAAGTCTACATTTAAAAAATAATTATAATGACAAAATGTATGTATTATGACCCTTCACAGTCATTTTTAAATCACCTGTTACCTGCAGACCACTTCTGCATAACAGTATGTTTCATTTGTCAAAGGACCACAAAAACGCCACTACATTTGTCAGTTAACAATAGCATTACTGTGTGAAAAATGAAAGCTGCCAGTACTAGATGGATTAGCTATTATTTTTCATCCAACATGAATGATACACCCTGGCAGTCAATATGAAGCTAATTAGATAGCATAACGAATACATGTAATTGATTTGAGAGGCAGGGAGCCACAGCTCTTCTTGATTGCCTCTCCAAAAGATTGGACGCCAAATGTAGCGCCATCCCTGGGTGAATCATTTGAGAGCTCAATAAGCAGAAGATTAGATTATCACAGCTAAACACAAATCTGCTGTTATTCAAAACAGTCGTGTACATGAAACATATAGTTTTATTATAAACAGATAAAATCAATCCATCCTTCCATTCTCTAAACCACTTTCCTATGGGGTTGTAGGAAAGATAAAATGTTTTTTTATATGTAATAGTTTCATGCTTTCTTTCTTTATTTAATTACAAATAATAAGTCGGAATAATAAGAATAATAAATCTGTTCCCTTTTGAAGTAGAACTTTGACACTGCGTCCTGGATTGACGCTATGGGCAACGGCATCAGCATGACAAACATACCAATTTATTTGCTGACGACAGTCCATGACATAACAAGCGGAGCGCCCTAAAGTACAAAAGGACGCCTGTAAAGCACGCCATCAGCTTTTTTGTCTTCAGGAGCCGTTTGTTTGTATGCGTGTGTAAGATAAACACTCTTTGGGAGCACATTCAACTCCCGAGGGTATTGGATGCGCTCATAATATTACACACATATAACACATAGCATTTGTGTTATCCCTGGAGCAAGAAACTCTGTTCTTGTTGATTCTCTTCCAAGGGATAGGAATCTAGTGTTTGCACAAGCGTGTTCGGCTCTCGGTGGAGTTGGAGGCGCTCATGTTAATGCATTTACGGTAAGAAGCTGTGTTCTCACTTGGTTCTTGATAGCGTGTCTCGAACCTAGCGTGTACGAACCATGTTCAGCTCTTGAGGGAGTTGAATGCATTCTTAGTGATGTGTTCACTATGGGAAGCTTCACCCAGTTACTGGGTATATTGCATTATACCCTCTTATTTTCCTCACTTGCCTGAGTATGAGTAGGATGTCCTCCTTTGGAGGAGCAGCAACATTGAAGGTTATTGCCCGAAGGGCTAATTATTGAGTTTTTAACACTTTGAATGCTCCCTTTAGTAAGCTGGTAAAGGTACCCTTTAGGGTTGATTAATTGGGAAATTTGTATTGCCCTGTTAATTTACCTCCCTCCCAACTGTTGATGTGTCCTAAAGTAGGGTCTTTTTGCTCCTCTTTGGTTGGGTACTCCTTTTGGCTCCTCTTTGGTTGGAACCTGACGAGTAGAGGAAGTTTGCCTGGTAAAGCATTCCTCCTTTGTTATTTTGCACTCTATAACTTAGAATGGAGTCTTTTATGGATCGTCTACAGGTACAGGCAGGGGATGAGCGCTGTCCCATAATTCTTCTAGGGTATTTAAGTAGAGCTGGAGCTCCCCTACAGATTCCCTAGGGGTTGAGTTTTGATGGCGAGAGTCTTTTCCAAATATATTATGCAACTCTCATATTTGCATCCCTTCAGATGAAGTTGAGGGCTGCATTCTCCCCCTCGGAGTAGTAGTAATATTGAAGGTTGTAGTTGATATTCTAACGCTATCTCACCACTAATTCGTATGAAGTACAAGGTGGCTAATTCGTACGATTTGTCTAAACCCCAGTGATGGGTAGGTTTAGGGGTAGGGGTAGATCATTCGTACGAATTCATAGGAATTGGGCAACTCGTAAAATATGTAAGATTTTGCAAAAATCGTATGAATTCGTACGAGTGAGGTTGTATGAATTTTTACGAATTAGCCACCTCGTAAAATACATACGAATTGCTATAAGATCGGGTTGGATATTCTCCCTTTTGTCGGCTACTCCCTTAGGTCTTTCTCAAGACAAAAGCAGCTGACATAGCTGAGCCATTTTTTCTCTGCTCTGATCAATTTTGCACAATAAGACCCAAAATGCAAGTATTAAGAAAGTAAATCAGTTTTATTTTCATGTTAACTTAACACTAAAAAAAAAAAACATTCTTAACAAGCCCCTAAAACACCTACGAGGTCATTCAGGGTTATAGTAAGAAAGCGTTATTTGTGCGAAGCACATTATAAAAAAACGGATTCACTCAAACTAATCCCAGCAGCTGTGGAAAATAGCCATGTCTGCAGGAATGCAGCACTCCAGGCAAAAGCAATGCCTCTCAATCACCATAATGTCAATAATGACCTCAGCAGCTATGATTCTCAATCGCCTTTAGGTGCAGCCAACATTAAAGTCTGCAGTGCTTGCATCGATAGCATTAGAACTACTGCTGATCTCAGAAGGATCTGGGATATACTGTATATTAAACCATATGAGCAAATGTTTTTGTGTAACATACAGTAATATCATTCAATATAGAGCAGTCATACTATAATTGCATGCCAATTGATTTAGACTATGTAGCAATTTAGAACACATAAATTGTGTTATGAAACAAACGGCTCATTATGAATTCTTGTTTTCCAGACAAAACATTTCCCATTCAAGTGTTGCTCTGTGAAATGCAAAACTCTCTGTTGTGATCCAGTCGGGCACTATAAATGGCTTTTGATTTGATACCCCATATCCTTCCCGCTGCTGTTTCTGATCACCAGAGGTCTGCAGCAACAAAAATAACTTGATTTTGTTGATTTTATTTTGCGGTTTGTTTATTTGGAGAGCACAGACACATGATCAACCTTACTGTGTCTCTGGAGATCAAAAAGATGGAAGACACAGTCTAGCTGGATCCAAGAAGTTCAGCCTCTGGATAGATATTGGAAAACATGTTTGATCAAATAGAATGTCCAACTACACCCCACCCACCCCATCATGTGCATACTGTGGTATGCTAAATCTATTATTCATAGATAATATAGTTGCAAAATTGTAAGATAATATTTCAACCTAATGTGTCATGTTATGTGGTGTGACAGATCAAAAAAATTGTATGTAAATGAAACCAAACCTTTAATTTACTAATAAAATGCCATATGTATTTATGAAAATTTAGTACAAATAATATTATTTTAATTTTAATAGTATTTAATTATTTTAATATTATAGTAAAATATTGTATTAATTTAGTAAATATTAATATTATTGATTTTATTTGTTTGTTTTATTGTTGTTTTTACTGAACTACTTATTTTATATACAAAT